AGAAGTTTCCGTTTTCGAAATAGCACTAAACTCATGTATATTTCTCCATTTTTGACTATTCTAAAGAAGTTTAGAGTAGAACAAACGCGGTATTCGGACTCATTGTCAAAACTGAGTCAGATACACACATCTTACCAAAAAATATTTTCCATCAAAATTAGAATCTTGAAAATTAAGATTTAGTTTTCATTGAAAAGATATTTTTATACGATACTTAGTTCAGCTGACAAAGTTTAATCTGAATCAAATTAGTGATATCTCACCTGGAATAAAAAAGATTTTTCAGTTTCGTTTTTCATCACACTATAAAAAGAACGGTAGATCACTGTTAAGTATACACTTAGCGCACTCGTCCAGCGCATGTTTTGTACATAGTTCTATTCACATAGTTCTATGTTTTGTTTTTTCTTTTTCTTTTGAGATCATGATATAGTTACAGTCCATAGTCTACTTCTTTCTCTCCTTACCTATATTTGTTATCATTGACCAGTCCTTATCTCTGGTTATTTTTATCTTATTCTAGGTCTCCTTCTTTTCTTTGTTTGATTCATACTCGCCGTCTCTTTCTATGCTTTTCTTTTCGATATAATATATATTCAAGCGTAAAGTTTTTCTATTATTATTCTTTTCGGAGGAGCAGTTAAAAATAGTCAGGAGTTAGTCGTGATTAGTATCGTATCTTAGATCGTATTCTTGATTTCTTCTTCATCGTTTTATAGTCTTCGTTTCCTTGTGTTTTTTATTACTACTTTCTAAAATATATTCATTATCAAGTAGCATCATTCTAACAAGACAGGTGAGTGCATTGCGCCTTCTCGTCTTTCCGTGGGAGCAGCAAGAGTCTAACATCAGAGGTCAGTGGTCCAGGGGACGAAAGGTTAGCAAGTGGGGACCTGGCCGGGGATGAACATTGATAATTATATTATAAATCTCGATAATTGTAATTAAATTAAATGAAATAAGATTTCAATAAAAGAAATTACATAAATAAACACGGTAGTTAATAGAATTGGTCGCTCTCTTCTAATGGGAGACGGCGAATAAAGGAAATATTATAATACTGTAAATTGAGCCGCTCTATTTATAAGTAGACGGTGTGTAATAATTTGATAGATTGTAATAAAGACTTCACTGAACGGTGTTTACCAATTAGCTCTCGTTAGGGGAGACTCTGTTTAATAGAAGTTACAATAATCATTTCGCTGTATGTCCGAGGCACCGTTCAAGGGTACCAGATCTAAGATCAATTATCAAAATTTATTAATAAACGACATTCAATATCGAAAACCGCCTGTTAGAAACGAGTTAAGGCGGCAATCACGAGTCTTTTCACCATTGCCAAACCATCTTATTACCAGCACATCTGAGATCTCACCAATTGCAATTGAAGAAGCCGACGAAGAAGAAGAAGGAGAGAATACCATGGAATTTCAGCAGCAACAGCAGTTTGTAAATGATAATAAAGAACAGTTCGAAGAATTTACATGGACACTTCAAGCTGTAAAACATATTGAACAACAACTAATAGCAAAGACTCCTGACTTTGGTTCAACAGTTGATAGTGTTAGTCAATGGCTCCATTTTAACGAATTTATGTTTGATAAATTAAGTTATCCACGGATGTATTGGGTGGATGAAGCATCAAAACATTTACCAAGTGATTTGATTGATTCATGGTATGTGACGGTACAACCAACAATTGATAATAACTGGGACATATTTAAACAACGACTTATTCAACATGTCAAAGGTCCAAGTGATAGTTCTTTACAGCCACAGACTCAACGACCTACAACAATTACAACGTCACAGGATTCGTCAACAAAAGATGACGATGATTTGAATGAAAGGGGTTTTGAAGATTTTATTCGTAAAAATTTTATAAGATTCCTTGGCGATAACCAGGAATGACGAATGGTTAGCAGCAACAATTGTACAGTTTGAAGACTTTAAAATCCTTCAGTCTAAGTGGATGGATTATATTCCCTCGTTATTATCTGGAAAAGCACGTGTGTGGTTTGGGGTTAATAGACAAAACTTTTTTGATTTTGATGGATTTGTGGAAAAATTTGTGGTGGAATTTACAGCAAAGTCGCATTCCAGTCGTGTTAGTTCAATCCAAGATGTAGTAGTAGCTACAACAACAACAGATCCAGTGGGTGTATCAAGAAAAGATCCAGTTGCACGTACTTTAATAAAATCTCTTAATGAACAAGTTATTAGAAAGTTGAAAAGTTTTGGTGGTAAGCACGATAACGTTGTCAGTTGATGAACTGGAAGCACACTTTAATGCTCATGGCTGGTCAGAAAATGTTAAAATGAAATGTATACCGACAGTAGTTCAAGATTTAGCATTGAAATGGTATAATCGTAATTCATCGACAATTAAATCATGGGCTGATTTTGCAATCAAAATTAAAGAAGAGTTTGGATCAAAATTCCGTCAACAAGAGGCCTTTGAACGATTGAGGAATTATAAACAAACAATCAATCAAACTGTTACTGAATATTATAATGGTTTAATGGACGTTTGTCGTGAAACTGATCCGACCCCGACAAATGATCATATGCTTCAAAATCTGCTATCAAATGTTAGACCGTCTTTGAAGATAAAAGTTTTGGGAAAACAACCCCAAACACCAAATGAGTTTTTGCATTACGCAAAAACATTTGAACATCTGGAAAAATTAGTTAAAGATGAAGTAGCCTTGAGTTCAACAATTGAAAGAATGGAACAGCCATATATTGCTCCACCTCGACGAATACAGCAACAACAACAGCAAACTTATAATCATCATAAACCAGGCAACATACAACTGCAGCCACAGACCTCATCAATTTCAACTGCTTCACATTATCAATCACCACCGAGACATTGGCAGCAATCAAAATCGAATTATTCTGGCTGTCATATTTGTGAAGCACAAGATCATTACGCCAGAAGCTGCCCTCAACGACAACTTTTTCAATAACGGAGTCATCGGATGATGGTGATGCCTCTGGGAAAAATAATTTTAAGAATCCATCACTGATTTTCGTTTTAATTAAAATTAAGAACAAAATGATGAACGTCATGATTGATACCGGAGCAACAAACACCATTATTACTGAGGAAGCACTACGAAAAACAAAACACCAAAAATTTACCACCTCATCACATCACACATTACAAATGGCCGATGGAATTGCACATTTAAAAATGATGGGAACAGTCGACTTAGAAATCAAAATTAAGCAAATGGTAACTACAATTACAGCAATAGTGGTGAAGACTTTGTTTACTGATTGTATTATTGGAACTGATTATATAAAGAAATATGCTGTACAAGTACATGGTGGAAAGGAAACAGTTACCATTCAAAAAGGCAATCAGTTCGTAACTGTTCCAATGGAAAAACAAGTGGATCGAATGAAAATACCGTTGAGGTTGACGGAATCAGTCCGCATACCTCCATAGGACGAGTTAACAGTTAGGCTATCTGCGTGTGTTTCGGCAGCTAGAGTCCTATTTAGACCGTCATATAACTTAAGAGAACAGATCCCAGTATTTATGTCCAACTCTCTTTTGGAAATTCAACAGCATGAAGCGTTGCTGTCAGTTCGAAATCCCACAAACTTTCCATGCATTTTGAAGAAAGGTGTAATCATCGGGATTTCAATATTGCCAACTAAGCAACAAGTAGAAGTTGTCAAGGGACCAAAACTGAAACTTAGCCCAGAAGACTGAACGAACACTGAAAGAGGCCAACCGATTTATTGGCGGCATGGCATGGTATAGGAAGTTTATACCTAAGTTTGCCGAAGTCGCTGCACCTATACATGCCGTAACAAATTTGACAAAAACAAACCGTTACAAGTTTAAATGGAAAGAACCGCAGTCGAAGACATTTCACGAGCTCAAAAGAATGTTGATCACTGCTTCATTGTTATTACAATTCCCGGTGGATAGTCATCCAGTAATACCTTCGACAGATGCGTCAGATTTGGGAATCGGTGGAGTTCTTCATCAAGAAATTAATGGTCAAAGACATAATCTTTATTACCACTCTCAATTGATTACAAGGGCCGAGAAAAATTATGACACCATTGAAAAGGAAGCGTTGGCTATTTGGAAGTGTTTTGATCGCATGCGGACATACATATTGGGCAGAAGCATTATATTGTATACCGATCATTGTCCGATTTGCAACAAGATGCAGATGACTGTGAAAAATAACGAGTGGATCGAATTGCCCTGCTTCTTCAAGAGTACAACATTGAGCAAATAGCTCTATACTTAACAATCACAACTGAAAATCAGTTGAATTGAAACTTGAACTACGTTTTACCTAGGGAACACAAACAGCTGAAATCTGTAGGACAATCAGACGTATGCATAAAATATTTGGGAAAATTCTCAGCGCTTGAAGTCCTTTCGTAGTTGTGATTTTAGAAAATAAATAATATTAAGCGTCTCTGCTAAAGTAGACTTTTGAACCAGTCCATAATCCCACAAAGCCTATCAATATTATTCTTGTAATCACTGGCCTGTCGACCATCAAAGTGTGAATGTGAATAGCGTTGGATATTTGTGAGGATTCCTCATTACTAGAAACACTCAAATTTTAGAGACCGATTTAGATAATTTTGAAATTAAAAACTATACTCACAAACACATGGGTCCGGAGTAACGTTACTGGCTGTGACGGTGCTGGCTGTGACGTTGCTGGCTGTGACGGTGCTGGCTGTGACGTTGCTGGCTGTGACGTTGCTGGCTGTAAGATTACTTGTAGTGGCTGCTGTTGTACCACTTTTTGTTGAAAATATAACACCAATTGGAACTCCAACACTTATACAGACCAGTAAAACTAGTAAGGATGATGAAAAAATCCATAAAAGTTTTTTTGTTCCTGCCGTAACAGTAACAACATCATTCCTAGAAGAATAAAATACTAGAGAAATTATTAACCGAAACTATTCACATACCCTACAGACTGAGATGGAATATTTGGAATTTCTTCTAAATTCGAATTTATTTGTTGTGATGAACGAACGTTTGCTGGCTTCTAGAACAAAAGAAAAAGAACTTCAAAAAACTATTTACTGTACCTCCACCCCAAGAAGAAAAGACCATTCTACAATAGAAGACCATCCATAATTAAAAGACCAGCTGAAGGTTATGGCGTAAAAGTCAAAATAGTAGACCACCTTAATCAAAAATTCCCTACTTTTTAGAGTAATTGTAAATGAAATTGTAATTCTTCTTGTATTCTATTCATCCGTTTTTATCCTTTCCTGTTTTTCTTTGTATGTGTACGTATATTTATGGATACAGACATCGAATATTTATCATTTATCGTTATTTATAGGTAAATTTTCTTCACAAAAATGAAATGGCAAATATTCTATTCTATCTAACACGCGGGCTCGGCAGGCCAAAATAAAGCTTATATACACTTATGCCGACTCTATATTTGAATAGGAGGCATCCATCATTTTTTTTCCATCCAGATTGATTTATTGTGTATTCAAAATAATGGGTGTAAAAGTTGTTTCAGTATTGAATCTTAATCAACCATTTAGTAAAAACTAAACATTGTCTATAGTATCAAATTCAGTTTGACAGCTGATGTATATACTACCTATTGTAAAGAGCAATAGAAAAGAATGACCCTAACAGAGGACCATTCTTCACTTGACGGTCTGAGGAACAAACTAGAAGACTTTTATTCTGGGATGGATGGGAGAGGACGAGTTCATTTGTTATTTATTTATTTATTTATCAAATCACAATTTGAATCATCAACAGTTTAGAAAAGACGAAATATGTACCAAAAAACGAAATTTACTGAAATTATTTATAGTTTATCTAACAGATATATTTAAAACATTTTTAGAAGAAATGTTCAGACGGTTTTCTCTCTTATAAAAGACATTTAAGGAAAGTTACAAAGTTAGAATCCAAGTTTGATGCTTTTTTTAATAGGAATTAATTGTAAAATATTTGTATAATTGCTTTTTTTACTTGTTTAGTGAGTAACATTTGTTCAAACGACGCGAACCACAAACTTGTCTTTAATTCTCTTCCTTGCTATCTCTGCATATTACCGAAAAAAGCCTACTCCCTGACTCGTTACTATTTAAAAAAAAACGCAGTAGTTGCTCAGAAAACCCCATTTTACGATGACTCGTTTAACTAAGACTGACTTTCTTTTCCAAGGAAAGGAAGAATGAAAAACAAAAAGTAAATAGCACATCTTGTAGAGCATTCAGTTCTCTACCGAACCGTGAACTTCAGTTTTGGTTTACTTTTTTCTGCCTTGAAAAACATTTCGACGCACAAGGCTGCATTTTTCTGTTGATCGACCTGGTCGCTCAATTTTCTTCAGTCCTTTAACTCATTGAAAAACCAAAATCTGGCAGTTATATAGATCGTTTGTCGCTCTACAAAAACAGTAAAAAAAGCCTGAACCGTTTAGCCATTGCAGTCAGTCGAAAACTGATTTTCTTTTGAGTCAGCTGCTGCTTTACACTGAATGTAGACCGACTTTTTGCGGATTATTATTATTAATTACAAAAAACATTCAGAAACTCAAGAATGGTGCACTGAATCTGCACAAAACTTTCACACAAGATAGAATATAAAAGGTTCTACTACGATGAAATGCTTTCACTAAGTTTTTTTTAATTTTTTCCCTCCAAATTGTGCTTTATTAATGAAAATGTAGACCGATCTTTTTTTACAAAAAAGCGCAGACCGACCTTGATTCATGATTTTTTCGATCTGATTTCGCTCGAATGAAATAAGACTATAACTGTTTAGATTCATAGTGCTGTGGAACTCAAGCATGAATGTGATACAGTAACCAGTTGGTACTGAGCAAGCGAGAGTCTCGAATATATAAGATAGAATGAGCAGAATATCTCCCGTGTTGTCTGTCTTTGAACTTCGAAGACTTTATGGAGGCTGTTTTAACTTATGAAGTAAAAGCTGCTTCAAATAGAACCTTTTACACTTAAATTTTGTCAGATAAGAGAGAACAGCAGGAAAAATTCTGGAACTGAAATAATTTTGAGAACAGTATTATTTTATAGTTTGTGTTGAGTTTGTTTTCTGTTGTGACCGGTTTCAAAACAGTAAATAAAGAGAAGAACTGTTGTAGAGCAGAAATCTCTTGTTTCTGAGCTTTGTCAGATCCAGTGACGGAATCAAGTGCCAAGTTTACTGAAATAGACATGAGTCATACGAATAGACTGTTAACAAGCCAAAAAACAGTGAACGAATATCGTTTATTTCAAAAACCCTGAATAATGCGATTTTCATTTAGAAAAAAAGGGTATTTTACGTTTCTGGGGCACTAAATCTACTCAAACAGAAGCACAGATAGAACTGATGGATAGTGCTCATCAAAAGCTATCGATTAATGTATAATATGTGCATCTTCTTATGAATTTGAGATCAATTTTTCCAAAAAAACTACGCCTAAGAAACAACAAGAACTTTGTAAAGGATTTTCTCAGTCGTTATAACTCCGGTAGAAAGGAAAACTACACTTGCATACTCAAGAAATGATGCCGAACAAGATGTGCTACTTAGAATTTCTCTTATCTTCTGTCATATTTTTCCTAAGTTGTACAAAAATTTGCACTTAACTGATATATGTTTGAAACTTTCTGTGCCTCTTGACTTGAAATTTTGCGGTTTTTGCGATACCACAATCGTTCTCTCACAGTGACGATACAAAGATTTAAATTATACAGCATTGTAGGGCAAACGTTTCCTGCAAAATGGTGTATTGAAACTTTTAAAACCGTAAGGTTAAGCAATAAGAAATATTTTTGTAAGCCCTATTTTCAGCCTTTTAGATGAAGAAAAGGGTGGGTCCACTTAAGACAGAGCTCATCAGGCTAGCGAGAAAAGTCATAACAAGTCAACATTTTTTTCCGCTTGAAATGTCTCCGTCGATTCGTGATACAGAATAATGTGTTAATCCAATTTTGCAGCTCTTGGCGTTTTTTTACTACAGAGTTATGACGCTTTTTCCAGAGGAATCAAAAAATTTTTTAAAGGTGCATATATCTCTTAAAGTATTTTAGTATTTTGACTATAACTCACAAACGACACGTGTCATTTTTGAGCAATAACTCGTTCGAAAGAGAATTAAAAATAGAACAACATGATACTTTAAAGCAAATCTTTTTATGCAACGTCGAAGTAATATGCCCAAGTTACTCTCAGAAGTCATCATTTTAAAAAACATAATATTTTCACATAAGTTCATCATAGAGGTTTTCTTTTACATGGTACCAGAAAATAAGTTTTGTTCTTTTGTAGATCTGAAAATTGTATATGAAATGAGCATAAAAAGTTTGAAAAAACAAATTGCAACTTGGAATCAAAAATGCAAAATACTTTATCTCACCACGCATAAAAATCGTCATTTAAAATGTATGATTTTTATTCCAAATATGTACCAA